GGGGGGTGCCCGCGCCAAATGTGATGTCAGATAGCTTCCGAACAACTGGCGCTTATAGGGTTAAAATAAAACTGAGCCTTTGTAATCACGACCTTCACAATGACTTTATTTGCCCTAAAGACCATTTGCGATTCAGGTATATCCATTATCATTCAGAATACCCGTCAAATTGCCATGATATATATTGTCAAGTAATATATACATGTATGACGGTTTTTTTGAGTTATAATGGTCATGATAATAAGAAGTTGAGGTACATAGTTAAACTCTTGTACCAAAATCACTGTTCTTACTTAGACAACAATAAATCCACGACCTCATTCTTTCACCAGATGATTTGGTGGTTTAAATCATCTTTATCATATACAAGACAACTGATACAGGGCAGCCTAGGACAGCCTTCCATCTCAGTACAGTATTGAAAGGATGGCGCAAATCAGATAGGACAAAAACAGTTCACTAGTGCATCGGACAGTTTACCTGATGACATCAAAAATTGCTGTTTTATGACAATTAACGTTTACAGGAAAACAATCCTGGAAACAACGCCTTCCCAAGTATGTGTGTTTCTTAGCACAGTATATAACATAAGATAGTAAAAGGTTGAACTTTATTCCAACACACAATTGTACAGGGATCAAATTTTCAGCGACCACTGTCGCCTTCATCAGGATAATTAATGACTAATGACTTCGTGATCTCGCGAGAAATACGGTTTACAATCACGTGACCTTATTCACATGAGATTTTACTGATACGTGACGTAAGCAATTGATCACTTAAGCAACCGTAATTCTCGCGAGATCACGTTGTGAAGTGATTGGTCATTAATTATCCTGATGAAGGCGACAGTGGTCGCTGAAAATTTGATCCGTGTACAATTGTGTGTTGGAATAACGTTCAAACTTTTGCTATGATTACTACCAACACAGATGAACTTTCATGATATAACATAAGATGTACGAGTTAGTGCTTCAACAGTCTACTTTTTAGATGTTTCACTTTACGGTCCGTGTGACTGATCGGATAGAGTGGCTTCAGATTCGCAGTGTTCTCCCCGTTAATCCACACTCGACCCCCAACTTTAGCTGACAACAAGCAGCTGTCGCCTAAGAAAGAATGAAAAATTTAAACAGCAGTCTAAAACGCAGCAATTTAATTACGGCAATAGTTTGGTGGCTGTTGAAACCGGATAGCCAAGGCCTTTCACTGATCAAGTCAGATCGCTCCTGTCACTATTCTTGTACGTCGTGCGAGGTGGTTCATACCTGTCGCCAATTTCTGTAACCTCCGTTACCGCTCAAGTAAGACGGCCGTGCAGTTTAGATAGAGCCACAAATAAGACACGAAATTGCCATTTTGATAACTTTTTGCAAATTTTATAGGTTTCTAAGAGAAGAAGAAAGGAGTGTTTGCTGTCATTTGTAGCCACCCTTGCTGAACAAAATGTTTTACAGTAATGACTGTAACATCCGTTACCGTTGTTTATTACCTTGCATGATAGTTACTTCACTAGGTATATAAAAGTTACCCAGTTTTTAAATGCCCGTACTTATGCTCTCTTTCTCCTTAAAGATGAAGCTAAAAACTATAGATCTTTTTAGAGAAAAAAGTCCGTAACGGAGGTTACACCTGCAGCGAAAAAGACATAATAAGGGATCAAATTTCATTTTCCTGTGCACCATAAACAAAATCATTGGAAATAAAGTGGAAAACATATGCATCGAAAGAAAGTAACCCTCAATGTCGTCATCAGACTCAAATGTTCTACCCTTCTTTGAGATTTTGCTTCCAAAGCCAACATAGCTTAGCTATTGCTTAGCTATCTTCATGTCTTCGATACGTATGTATGTCCCAGTGTATAATGTACTACAGAGGTACTTCCATAGATACTGACGTCCAAAATATGGCTTTTGAGGTGATGCCATGAATACAAGCTTTATAATACACACGGTTCATTTTAATGTTCCCGTGTTTTTGCTGCACAAAAAATTGCATTGTTTTAATACATCTTATTAAAGTCCCTAAATTTTCGGTAACTTCCTATGACAATTAAGCTGTCATTTTGTGGCAATCATTAATTGAGGTGTTTTCCTAAAAGATAAGGTAGGTTTGCCTGAAAAAACAGTTCATCGATTTTTCCACCCTAAAATCACCATTCTTAACATTTTGATGAGAATGAGCCTAATGGGTTTCGTCATTAATTATGCATATTAGATACCGATTTTTCTAACTGTAATCTACTAATGGTATCACTTTATCTACCTTACACACTCACTCATTCACAGAACGGAACAAAACAGAATCGAAAACTCTAGCAGATCGCTAATTTTAGTCACACCACCGACAAATACAGTAACAAACAAGAATTCGGAGATCTCATACCTCCATGAAATATTGTAGACTTTATGTAAATGATTTATTGTATCTGATTTATTATAATTACATTAGTTTATTTTACTTTAGTTTATTTTACTTGATGGTTTTCTACACTGAAATTACAATACTTTGTGTGTGAAACTTTGGCAATGTTTCATTTTAACATGTCCTCATTTATTATGCAAATGACATCTATATCAACATAATATATGCAAAGTGATGTTAAGCTTTAAGTAACCTACGCATGTCACAAGGTATAAAATTCCCATCATTGAACATTGATAAATCATAGACGTTTTACATTCATTATGCAAATTAGGTCATTATTTGCATAATTGATATCTGATGATGTTCCACCTGCCATAGATAACATGCATTACATGTATGAAAGTATTATTACGTAAAGCACTGTAATTACATAATTTCCTCATAACTTACATAATTATACAAATTTCATGATTTGCATTTTGAAATGTACATGTCTCTATTAGCTACCTACATACCAAAAATGATTAAGATATGTTGTTCCTTTCTGGACTGCAGTTCCAGAACAAGCTGCTACGGGGGCAAAACAAACACCACATATTCTAACACGAAAAGCTATCTGTCACAAAAAATCCAAGACCATAGCATGTTTAGGACAAAAGATACAAAAACCGGAAGTTCTGCTGCAGTACCAAGATCAGTCACCTGGAAGCCCATATTAAATCTTTGCCTTCCTATGACCTACCAACATACCAAATATCATCACAATCCATAAAGGCGTTATGAAGTTATGCTGACTAAAAATGTGCGGAAACACACACACACAGACAGACACACACTCACAGACACACCAAAACTAATACCTCCATTTTTAATGGAGGTAATAACAAAACAAAATTACAAATAAGAAATCAGCAAATGAATAGGATAACATGTAATAACGTATCAGTATAAGATTAAGTGATTTTTGTAGACATTTCTAATGTTAAGTCGGATATGAATCGCTTGGTGTGGACAATGAAGGTTTGAGTCAAGTTACAATATGCCGGTTCTTGAGTTGGTGTTCTGCTGCAGTGTCATAGGTAGTCCATAATTGAACCTGTTCTTTTCCCTCCGATACCTTCCCACTCACGTAAACGGCACCGAAGCCAAAACTTCCATGGTAAACGTAACTACTCTGCTTTCAAAACAATACTCGTGACTTTGCGTCCTACAACACGTAAAACATGTAAGGTTCATTGTGATATTCAAGGAATACAAATGTTCACTTACCGTTAGAACGCTCTGGTGATTGCTGATCTCATAATACCGGCTATGCATGTACGTGTGCGTCAGACTTGTACGGCGTCACACAGCCTGACTAAAAACCAACCTGCAGATAAACCTCTGGATAAGCCTTAAAATAACTGCAACACGCCAATGAAAAGCATTATTAGATTACATGGTATATTGCATGGCAGTATCCAAAACGTCTTGATTTGCTTTGGACTTAACTTTTGTAATGAAGTTAAGGATGTATGGTCTCGGGTGACGGGAACGAGAAAATTACTTTTAATCAGATAAAGTCACAAACCCATAGTTCCATCTATCACTGTAGAACTCTGCTCTAGTCGAGTATTATCTATCGGAAACGTCTTTGTAACGTTTTCAATATATTTAGACGCGAACATAGCCAAAAATAAACCCGAAGTGTAAAGTTGCATGTAATGTACATCTGTAAATATTTTCAAATCTCTAGTGTAATCTAGCGAGTTATGACAAAGATAAGTATCCGTGTAGAGTGAGAAACTGCAGATGGAATCAATTAGCAATAATAGAAAAGAAGAGCTTGGACCAGACAAGTTGAACTTTGAACACTTCGTTGACTTGATAATGCATAGTCCCATCCCATATAGGTGGAGGAAAGTGGAAGCTTCTCTTAGAAGTAAATAAGATCACAGCAAGTGATTTTTATGGATGCGCGCATTGATTTTCCCCTGATTTGGGAAATTTGGTGGTCAACAAGTCGAGTTCTGTCTCAAAAAGCCATATATGCTAAAAATCTACTTACTGTGGCTACTAATCGCAATGGTACGTTTTGTAGTTTAAACCTGCAACTTGACTACAGTAGAGCCAAATTATCAAGATAAAATAGAATCACGTGTTTTTCGTTTGTTTTTACTCGGCAGTAAATGACATTATTACCCTATCATAAGAAGAGCAAAGGTTTTCTCAAGTTGATTTTATAAGAAATATTTTACTTTAAGGCCGGTTATTGGCCTTTTTTAAATTTCAAATCAGACGGAGAAGGAAAACAATACTGAAGACTAATAATTACCAACATGTCCCTAATTTATTTACTAAAATTTCAACCAGTAAGTCTCTCCCAGTATTGTCACTGATGACATAGATATTGTACGTTACGTTGTAATCGACTGTAAATCATACCGACCTGTTTCAATGTCAGGGGAAGTATATAATAGATGATGGGATTATCACCACAAAAACAAAATGTGCAGATACACAATACCAGCTGTGTTATAGTACATCTGTATTTAATTGTTTGATATACACAATCGATTAGAAAGAGATGGGTGTGTTCAATTTCACCTATCAGGCATCCTTTGCTCTATTACAAACTATGTTTCTTCCCACAGATTGATAACACATCCCCAAAGATTGACCAATTAACGCTGGCGACACTGATCAAAGACCAGACAGATGCCTGTTTTAGAAGACTGAATGAAACGGTGCAGCCTAATAGTAAGTGTGATCATACAGTAATCAATGATTTTTGATTAACCCACAACGACGAAAGAACCGACCAGCGTCGGCGGTAAGTGGAACCAGGTAGACAAGTTTTTTGCCAAGCCTACCGTCCGTGCCCACCATGTCCCAACCATTTTAGAACTGTTTTACAACCGGAGCATTATTGCCCGTGAGTCCTAAAGGTTTCCAAAGCTACTCCCGACCACTGACAATCTCAACGTCTATGTCAGGCTGCTGATCTCTCTCCAGACTGACTTCCAACCTTTTGCCAACACTGTCAAGAATCGAAATGGACATGTCAAACAAATATAAAAGAGGGGTGTAGTTTATGATCCATACAGCCATGCATCTGTGCTGTAAACATTACCGTACGATCAATTGCATTGATTCGGGTTGATTTGGGGTCAAATACGGCTTTTTGGTTTTTCTATGTTTGTGTGCATGTCAAATGTGTGAAAGGCCTGGGCGACTGGATAACGTTTCTCTATTGTTCCCCTTGGTTGGAGAGAAAAGTTAGGAGTAAATCATCAGTAATTGCAGCGTCAATTATCCACCCATCCAAGGTCATCATTACTCAGCCACCATTACTTGTCCATGGCCACTAATTTACCAATCACGGCTGATTACCCATCCAAAGTCACAGTTACCTATACGTGGTCACCATTACCCACTCATTAGTACCCACACACTGCGACCATAACCATCCACGGCTGTCATTACCCACCCACGTTCACCATTACCCACCCACGGTCACCATTACCCACCCACGGTCACCATTACCCACCCACGGTCACCATTACCCACCCACGGCTACCATTACCCACCCACGGCTACCATTACCCACCCACGGCTACCATTACCCACCCACGGTCACCATTACCCACCCACAGCTACCATTACCCACCCACGGTCACCATTACCCACCCACAGCTACCATTACCCACCCACAGCTACCATTACCCACCCACGGTTATCGTTACCCATAAACGGCTACTATTACCCATCCATGGTCACCATTACTCGCCCACGGCTACCATTATATAACTAGACCTTACCTATCTAACCATTATTTAATTCGATCTTACCTTAGCACAATCTTTTATGCATGTATATGTACATCATTATTTGCAAAAATCAATATTGATGATTTTGAATAATCATTAGAATGTTATCCGTACGCTATACCGGTAGCAAATAGTGGGGATCCCCGGGAGAAGACGAAAGCAAAAAGGCTGACACCCAAACTAGCTGGTTACAGGATCAGCTCAAACAAAAGTCTGTTATGTCCTAGGCTGTAATGTGTGTTTCTCATCATTACTTTGTGGCTATCTTTGTATTTCATAAATTACTTTACAGATCTCATTTTTTTAAGAGAAGGAAAGAAAAAAATAGTGAGAGGAGAGGCAAGTGACAGATACTCTAGGAATTAGAGTATCTGTCCGGAATTTTAGTGTCGCGTGTTCATAATATTAATAGGAAGCACACTGTATACAGCATGTACACGGTGAACAGGAATCTGTAAGTTAAACGGTGGAACAAATGTAACCACCCCATGTTAAGTATAGCAGGAAGCTGCTCTTATATTAATGAGTAATTCGACGCTGTCTGCTCTTCAGTTACAGGATACTGTCATGGCGGACCTGACTATCTCGGTTCCTGTTGGCCCAATGCTGCACCTGGTCAAGTCGTGACGTTACCCTGTCCTCAGCACATCGCCTTCTTCAACCATTCCAGTATGCTCCACCAGTTTAGTGTACCTTTGAAATGAACACATTTTATTTCATACCAATCAAACTTGAAACTGATTATCCACTTACTCATTGAGCTAAGGAGAAAAGTCATGTCTTCTTCAATGTACCTTTAGAATTCTCATGGCATATGACTACATCATCTCTTATGTCCATTTATTGTCATCTTATCGAAATAATCACGAGCACAATTTTTGTATGAATAAGGTTTTAGAGGTATCATGATATATAACTTTGATGCTAACAGGAACTGTCCAACGTACCTGCGGGAACGGAACTTGGAACATGAACCGCCTTAACCTTACTGAAGACTACCCGAGTAGGTGCTACATCCACAAAGAGCCCGACATGGTATGGACATATACATTTTATTTCAAACTGTTCATTCCATAACAACGCTCGAAATGAATTGACTATTCAAACTTCTACAATTTATCCCAATTTCTCTAAAATTACAGACCAAGAAAAAACTATTATTCTCTTAACTTCCCAAAGCCCACACATTTTGGAAAATGTGGGACATTACGTCTTCCATGGTTTACAGAAGAGAAGTCAAACCCTTCAGACATAGTTTTAGACATAGTTCTAGTTCTAGACAGCTACCTTTATCATGTAGACTTTAGTTACTTTATACTCTATTTCATTGTTCTTTTATGTTTTGTAATTTGCAATTAGCCTCCGGGCAAGAATTTGCAATAAACTTTCATTCTTATTTCTCCACACTATACATTACCGACATGGTATCGTAACTTGGATGATTACTTCAGTAGTATATTTGTTTTTAAACGATTAATTGGAATGTACTTAGCTAAGCCATTATGGACCATCTTGTATCATTTTTCTTTTATCGGGTATGTCATTGACAGTGGTATGTCATATATTAAAAATCTAACGTATACCTTGCATGGTATGTGTCAGACGGACCTGTACACTGTGCAGATCATCTACACAGTTGGCTACTCCCTGTCCCTGGCGTCTCTCACTGTTGCTATGGGGATCATCATTAGATTCAGGTAAGCTACTCCAAAATACATTTAACCTGGTCAAAGTAAAGAACCTTTAACACAGCAACATTATCAAGAAAGTGATATAAAATTAGAATCATAAAAGTAAACGAAAACATTGTTCATGGTGAGAAACAAATATGGTTTTACAGAAGGGAACTTGCTCCGAGGAAAACAGTAAAAAATTGAAAGTAAAAATATGATAGGCAACAATGAATAGCTATGCAAATTACTTGAGATGCAACATTGCTGAGTCAGCCCATCTACTGATTCATGACCATTATGGACGAAGTGATGAAAAATATCGCCACTACAAGAGCAGACATTGAAAACGTCACGTGTCTGCCTGCCAGCGGAGTAGGTTTGTTTTATTCCAACATGTAATCACCAGACGTGGTGACGGCACACTCACGTTTTTTCAACTTATATTAATGCCGCCACCAACACAGGGGACAAATACATGATATGACAGGACAATACTTATTTTCACCTGAGCGAAGTGAGGAAAGTCGTGTAAAGTGCCTTTCCCAAGGGCAAGGGATCGGTGGCATGTCAGGACTCGAACCCGGGACTCTCAGTTCCGAGTCGCGCACTCTGCCGCTACGCCACACGACCCCACAACAGTCCAGTCCAGGAGTAGTTAACAGTCCAGGCCTGCAATTCGGCCCCAGAGTCAGACGACTCCTCTCTTAAAATGATCCTGAAAGTTCATTCTGGTATTTCGTGGGATGGAAATACCTACAGTTCATTAGTTTTCATATCTCATTATTATTTACGGTTCCAAAAGCACCAAGTCACTTCACATCACTTCTGATCTTAGGGTCAGACCATCATGGTGAATGTTTGTATTATGTGGGATTTGATAGCAACGGATCATGGCTCCGTGTGGCGTGATGGGTAGGGTGTTGGGCACAGAACCCAAAGGTGCCGGGTGTGAAGTCCCGAGCGTTACGGCCCTGGGAAAGGCACTTAACACGGCTTTTCTTATTGAGACTTAATTGCAAGGAAGCGACTCTAGAGAACAAAAGCCATAGATACAGTTACTTAAAAATAGGATATTTTCACCAAATTACAAATAAAACTTGAAGCAAATAAGTTAAATCCCAAATATGATGATAATGAAGTATAAAAGTCTGAGTAAATTTTCTCGTTGATTATGCACGTAAAAACATGATTATTACAAGTTTTACTACAAAGCACCACTAGAGCAAAATGCCCGACATTTATAAACACATACAATGAAGTTAATTGGGACTCGTTCGCGTAATTGGCTTTGAGACTTCAGAGACTTTGAGATATAATGTTTATCTAAGAAAGCCCAGAGGGCACAACACTAATGGATGTCCATTAGTGTTGTGCCCGAGGACATATCCCACCAGGTGTCATCTAAGGTACAAAACATGCATAAAGCCATGACATAACAAAAACACACAAGATGTCATGATAAGATAATTTTGTGTGCAAATGTAAAACAAATCTGTTTTAATTTCTTGGCTGTTGTCACTGTCAAATATCTATGAAAGGTAGTGCTAAATTCCGTTCATGTTGTTGATGTGCCCTTTCTTTCATGTTTTATGTCCTTTCTTTTATGTTTATGTTTTGCATTTATATGTTTTACGTTTGGCGTTTGGGGCAAGGGAATCAAAATCAGTGGGATTTACCATTCACCAGAAAAAACTGCAAGGTTCCTTTGTAAACAAGTTTTTGTTTACATAGAATAATATTTTTGTAGATTGTAGAGGTTAAGCTACCTTATATGTTGCCGTAATGTTTTGTCATGTCTTGTCAGTTGGGCAAGCCCTTTTGTAATAGCCACTGGTTAGTTTGGTTGCCCTGGCTGTGATGATGGTGATGAACAGCCAAACCAATAACTAAAAAAACTGCATATCCAACACTTATCCACCTGCGCCTGTTTACACCTGTGCCTTTATTAATCAATTAATATATCTCTTCACATGCACCTGTTCTTGTCATTGTATCTTTCTCCGTTCTAAGAAAACACCAGTGTATCCGGAACAACACAAAATTCACGTGTTCAAGTCATTATTCCTTTCTCCGTTCTCAGGAAACTCCACAGTATCCGGAACAAATTCCACATTCAAGTGTTCAAGTCAGTATCCGGAACAACATCTACCTACACCTGCTCATGTCCCTACATCTTTGTCTATTCTTGGGAAACACAACTGTATCTGTAATTACATCTACCCGTACCTGCTCATTTCCCTATAGATTTGTTCATTCTCAGGAACCACCACTGTATCCGGTACTACATCCACATTCAGGTGTTCAAGTGATTATTTCTTTCTCCATTCCCAGGAAACTCAACTGTACGTTTCCGGAACAACTTTGCCCTACACCTGCTCATGTCCCTAAAAGTTTGTCTGTTTTTAGAAAAACCTGCTTCATCTGTAACTACCTCTACCTACACCTGCTCATGTCCCTATATCTTTGTGCGTTGTTAGGAAACTCCACTGTATCCGGAACTATATCTACCTACACCTACTCATGTCCCTATATCTTTTTCCGTTGTCAGGAAACTCCACTGTATCCGGAACAACATCTACCTACACCTGCTCATGTCCCTATATCTTTGTGCGTTGTTAGGAAACTCCACTGTATCCGGAACTACATCTACCTACACCTGCTCATGTCCCTATATCTTTGTGCGTTGTCAGGAAACTCCACTGTATCCGGAACAACATCTACCTACACCTGCTCATGTCCCTATATCTTTTTTTCGTTGTCAGAAAACTCCACTGTATCCGGAACTACATCTACCTACACGTGCTCATGTCCCTATATCTTTGTTCGTTGTCAGGAAACTCCACTGTATCCGGAACAACATCTACCTACACCTGCTCAGGTCCCTATATCTTTTTTTTCGTTGTCAGGAAACTCCACTGTATCCGGAATTACATCCACCTGCACCTGTTTGTGTCCTTCATCCTCCGAGCGGTGTTTATCTTCATCAAAGACGCCGTGCTGTTCGGGGGGATCGGACAACAGACGTACAATGACTTTGAGGACAAGGTAGTCTTCTCATTCGCATGAAGTATATCTAGCAAATATGTTATAATTGTAATGTAAAATCTTGAAAACCTATTACAAATCATACTGTTTATTGTTTTAAATGTCGGTGGTTTTTATGTATCACGCTAACTAAAACAGGTAATAATAAGATAGACAGTTGTATTTATGACATTAAAATGCTTAACCCTATCTAGACTAGGCTTTTTGGGGGTTTCGTGGGACCGTGGAGGGGAAGGGGGAGGTGTGCTCATTCGCCCCCCTCCCCAGAACTTGTGTACGGTATATCGTATCACCACCAAATTACACATCGGGGATGGTGTGGTAAAAATAAATCCTAAAAACAACTTTGATATCGTTAAGACGTAATATGACATCATTATGACGTCATGATTTTATTGGCCCAAACCCTCTAGATAGGTTATTCTCTTAGAAATTGATGGTATTCAACAAAACCTTTACAAAAATTGTTTATGATAGAATATTAGGATCTACTGAGACTTATGTTGCCCCGGCGAAGTCATACAATGACATCATGCATATTCAAGGTTTCCGTCATCTTTGATCGTCAATCTTGAATTTTGAAAAACTTTTTCTCAAGATAATCCCTAAAATACATTAACAAACAACCAGACAAATTGACTAAAGACGTTCATATGAACCTTTTTTGTAAAAGAATCGAAGTAGTGATGAAATTTTAAAGAAAATTACCTGTATATATCTGATTTAATGTGGTCCGCCATCTTATATTTTGAAAAATGACGTTATCAAATAAGTATAAATTATGTATTTCAATGATAAAAATTACATAAACTTGCATTAGATGTTATTAATATTAGAAAGCATGTGTAGCTTGACATAAAACCCATAAAAGTCTTTTGTTGGAACGAAAATGACTGAATTTCGCAAGAATGCCTGCAATAAAACGGTTCCCAGAACAACACACAAAATACTAACTTATTAAATTGATAAGAAATTGTTGCGAATCCTATATTCTTAGGAAAAGTCACCAAGTTTGGTACTACTAGCGCAAGTCGTTCAGACGCTATCCGACATCAAAGATGGTGCGGGCACTCCCTCCCGGTCTAGACAGGGTTAAGATATATCATCTGTATGATTGGTTTAGCTATCATTAAGGTGACTGTGTGAATGTTTACGATAAAGTAATCTTTTACAGATTTGGTGCAAGATCGTTGTGACCTTGTACAACTACTTCATCGCTGCCAACTACTTCTGGCTGCTGGTGGAGGGACTCTTCCTGCACTCCCTCATCGCCGTAGGCTTCTTCTCCGAACGGAAGTACTTCCGGTGGTACATGGTGCTGGGATGGGGTAGGTACTTTCAGCAGACATGGATTGATTCTAATTGTTTTGGTACAACATAATGGGGGTAGGTACAACTGGTACATGGTACTGTAGACGGGTATGTACATCCGGTGCTAGGATGGAAGAGGTACGCATCATGGTGGTATGGGGTATCTGATATAGGTACTCGCGAAGGGATAGGTACTCCCGGTAATACATGGTACTCAGATGTGTTAGGTGTTTCCGTCGGGACATGGTACTAGGATGGTGACGTTTTCGTGGCGGTGGTACTAGTAGATTCCGTATTTTCTCCACTGACTCTTGACGTCATCACGCTTCCGAAAAAGTTAGCGCAGTACATCTGACGTAAGTCGACGAGATCGACTGGAAGTTCATGGTGATTTCCTTTCTTGTGTTCTATCAAAGCTTAAACTCTAACAACCAAGGAACTATGTAGATGCTTTCAAAAGTGCCAATACACGTGGCGAAGCAAACGATAACCTGATACATCTGCGTGGTCGTTAATTAAAATTCTGTTGTCTTCAGGTGCTCCGTGGCTGTTCATGATTCCATGGATCGCAGTACGAGTCACCCTGCAGGACACACGGTGGGCTGTCTGGATAAGTCAATTGTTTTCTGCACGATATCTGCCAGGGGGCGCTGCTTCTGTGTTTAACAAAAACACGATAATATCAACTAGATGTCTCAAGGGGTGAAATAATAAAGGGTTAATGCCCTGCCCCGATGGGTATATGGTGAGATCATCTCTGGTCAGGTGCGATAACCACCGAATAAACCACCAAGTGAGCGTATTTATTCGGTGGTTAACCTGACAAGGGATTATCTCATTTAATAGGCCACACCAAGTAAATTTTATGGATGACGTCCGCGCGCGCATTGATTTTGCCCTGTTCCTAGAAAAAACAAACAAGAAATTCCGCTTCCTCTAACTATGACCATATCCAAAGAGTCATGACAGTGCCGCAAATCGTCAGATTGACGTGAAACCCGTAACGCCAAAACAGGACAGGACGACAACTGCTGTTCCACCTGATTTATTGCTGTTATGATGATGAATAAAATATTTCTTGTTTGTTACACTGTGTCACCTCATTCAATTTGTGTCCTAACATTTGTCGTCTCTTAGTATATTTCTAATCTAGGCATCTTGTTTTTTAGGGCCCTTCTTGTTTTTTTCGCCCTCTCGCATTAGATTTAGGGTCTCCAAAGGACGTCATCCATAAAATTTACTTGGTGTGGCCTTATACACACCGAGGATAACGATGGACATTATATCCATATAGTATCCATTAATACGGCAAAATGCTGATATTATTTTGATTGTTTATCACTAGTGTTTTAAATGTTCGTGACAATGGCATTATATTAAATGGCTTGATTTCTTTACGTGGGGCCGGAGCATTTGGGGTTGGGAGTGGTCCGGGGTAAGGTCGAGCGAAGGTCCAAATGTATAGCGGGGGCTTGATCTAGAAAATGGCTACGTACGGGTACTAATGTGCCTGGCGGAAGAGTGTTGAAGCTGCTACTGCAGAGTAGAGTTACTACATTTTACTTTTCTGAAGAGGTCATTATCCTTATCCTGTCGTTTGTGCTTTTGCCAGATGCTGGGAAATCAAACACCTGCAGTACTGGTGGATCTACAGGGGACCCATCCTGGTGTCTGTACTGGTGAGGGGAACTGTTCTAAATACATATACTTTTGTTACTAAAGTACCTTTCTAGACCGATGCACCACCGGGTACTCTATGGGCTTTTTAGCGCTTTTTGATTGGACCCTTTGGACTACTTTTGTTGTGTCCCGAACCGTACGTGAGTGGTGACAGAACGGGACACAGCTGTCACCGCTTCTCAGGTCTAGGAAAGTACCGTATCGTACTTGGGGCGTGATGACATCCGGGCACAGGTCTGGACAGTGATCAGGCTGTTTCCCGTTCTGTACCCGCTCACGGGCACGGTTTGGGACACAACAACTTTGGCACTTTCGGCAACTGCAGGGCTATTTTGCGGCTCGTGCGGCCGGTGGGTCGGTCGATATTAATTGTCACTTTGGGTCAGCCCATATACATGTGGTAACCAAATAATAATAGCACTGGCATCGCCGGGATACGGGACGATTGTAAGTGTGAGTTTAAAGCAACCATTTCAAACCAAGCCGAGCAAGCCCCACGAGTCCCGACCGGAAAGTGAAGAAAAACCACCGGGACAGAGTTCATAATATTGAAATTAAAATTAAAATTAAAATTCAAGATTGATGAACTAAGATGGCGGATGGCTTAACTATAAAGACGTCATGATCATTTGATGACAGTGTTGTCAGTATGTCAGTGTTATTGCTATGAATAGTGTAAGTCTTGGCAGACCGTAATATTCTATCATACAAAGGTTTTGTTAAAATTCTATTGTATACCTATGTTTTACGAGAGAACCTCTGGAGCAAATGTCAGCATATTTCAGGCCATCTCCCTTTTCGTTCCAAAATGTACTGTTTCACATTAACCATTCCTCTTCAACATCAAGTGTTTCGACACAGTGCTTATACTGAAATACTATCGAAACCATCATACAGTACTTTCAGTAAACGGAGTTATCAACCAAAGATTGAGGTGTTCAAAACCAAAGTCATAATAACACATACACAGCTGTGTGTGGTCATGATTCAGTACCAATAGTAGACCATCCTGTGAAAATTCTTGCTGCTTGCGATAAGTAGTTTAGGACTTGCAGATAGGCAGGCCTCAAACACCTTCCCCGCTCCTAAGATGACAAGAGAGCCCAATCGGAATCCGGTTAAGATATAAATGTACAATGATACAATGTAAGATGTACAATGATAAGTAGGCTTTCGGTTTCAAATAGTCTAAACCTTACATGGTTATGGAAGCTCTAGAGAAAATTTTTCTGAACTCTTGTTTGAGTCTAAACCCTGCAATTCTGTATTACTGATGCTGCACCAGCAAACCCCCCTCAGTACCCTGTTTAAAGGAACAAATACAGGTACAGAACTAATAAACGAAAACCCACGTTAAATATTACGAATTTGTTTGAAACATTTAGAATCGTCTGCAAAGTGTACAGCCGTGGAGCTAAACAAGGTAGGTCATTAATGTAATGTAGGATTAAAAATGCTCCTAAAAATAAAGGTAAATTGTCAAAGAAACGGACGTGGTTATTGAAACTGTGCATGTTTAAACTTTTTTTTTGCTTTCCAGGTCAATTTTGTCCTCTTCCTAAACATAGTTCGAATCCTGGCCGTCAAATTGAAACAGGCAAACAGAAGCAGGGAACATTCCACTCAATACAAGTAAGCCAAACAATACAGTGATATCTCTTGATAATTTTATAAGGATAGTAAACCTAATGCTATTTCAACCAACCTAACTCCTTTTTACCTCCATGAAAAATGGAGGTATTGTTTTTGGCGTGTCTGTCTGTATGTGTGTGTGTGTGTGTGTGTGTGTCTGTCTGTCTGTCTGTGTGTTTCCGCAACTTTGTGGTCAGCATAACTTCAGAAAGCCTTTATGGATTGTAATGATATTTGGTATGCTGGTAAGTCTTGGAAAGACAAAGGTCAAGGTCAAAAATGGGCCTCCTGGTGGATGACCTTGGTACTGCTGCAGAACTTCCGGTTTTTGTATCTTTTGTCTTGAACATCCTATGGTCTTGAAGTTTTGGTGACAGATAGCTTTTCCTGTCAGGAATAAGTGATGTGAGTTTAATCTCCCTAGCAGCTTGTTCTGGAACTACAGGGCACTTTCTGGTGAAATGTTTAAAAAGCCAATAAGTCCAGATAGGAACAACATATTTTCATCATTTTTGGTGTGTAGGTAGCTGAGAGAGATGTGCATAATTAAATGCAAATTATGCAAATGAGGAATTTATTTGCATAATTAATAACGAAATTCTATAATTACAGTTTTTTACATTATACTACTTTCATATATGTAATGTATGTACCCTATGGCAGGCGTAACATCAACCGATACTTATTATGCAAATGATGACCTAATTTGCATAATTAATGCGAAAATTCTATGATTTCTTAATGGTGAATGATGGGAATGTCATACTTGGGACATATGTAAGTTAATCAAAGTTAACAGCACGATGCATATATTATGTTAATGCAGAGGTCGTTTGCATAATTAAAGAGGAAATTTACATTTACATATCAAGCCCATATTTCATGGAGGTATGAGATCTTGGGACTCTTAGTTTTTCTGGGGTGTTACGTCTCCCCATGAATTGATAAGGTTGCGTATGTAGATAGGCTGAATGGGCGAAGGTATGAGATCGTTTCACGGCTTCATCCTTCGCCAAATGATGTTAAGCTTTACGACTGATGCCTTATAAATGTTGTAATTGATTATTCAAATAAAATCATCATCAAAAAATTACACCAGTCGATAATATTCTTTCAGCAATGACAAATTTTTCTTAACAAAGAATGCTTATGATTCGATTATTTCCTTAAATAATCTTATTTCTCCTTTTAACCGTTACTTCTGTGTTATTTCTGCAGGTATCTACCCTGTTGTAATTATGTGTTATTTCTCCTTTTAACCGTTACTTCTGTGTTATTTCTGCAGGTATCTACCCTGTTGTAATAATGTGTTATTTCTCCTTTAAACCGTTACTTCTGTGTGATTTCTTCAGGAAGCTGACCCGATCCACACTTGTGTTGATCCCACTCTTCGGTGTCCACTACATCGTCTTTATCGGCCTTCCTGAAGACGTCACGGGACAGGTGAAATATGTCAGCTACTTCTTCGACACTTTCATGAACTCATTCCAGGTGAGTTGAGGACATGTGAAATCTTTCAAGCTCATTATCTGTAACATTTATGAAGTTCAGAGAAGTTAATTTCAAGAAGAAACTATTTATATATTTCCTAAAAAATTACAGTTGAAATAGTTGAAAGAGTTGATGGTGACTATATTTTTACCGCATCTTGAATTTTTTGGCAAAAACAAAATCTGTACTAGTGACAAAATTGAAGTATCTAACATGTATTATTTTACATAAAATGTCTTTACCATGACAAGTAGAAAATGTTGAATTGCAAAGTTAACTTTAGTGCTTGAGCACACAAACTACTGGTTTTATTTAGAGATAAAAGTTCATACAACATACATTAGTCACGCTAAAAGTGAAATTAACAAGTTAATCTATTCGTTTAAAACGAGTGGAAACACAGCTTTTTGCGTGTTTTGGTCTCCTGCATAGGTACTGTTGACATTTGTTTTTTCAGGGGATGATAGTGGCCGTACTATACTGCTTTTTAAATGGAGAGGTGAGTAACATGTTTACTGTCAAAGTGACAAAAACGTTTAAGTCAAAGGCTTTTGAGTCTTATTAATTTGCATTATGTACTGTCTCTTTGGTCGCTTATGTTAATAAAATCATATGGTACCACGTTATGTGACATAATAATTATAGAATAACATAACAGACCAGTTTACTTTTTTTAAAGCAAAGAAAATCTTGTCTGTATATATTGATCAAAAGTAATCTACACAAACTAGATTTTTTTCTCTATTGTACAATAAAGGCCATGATTCCCAGCTGTTCGTTTGTCCCAATTAACTAAAAATAAAATTTCCGTCAGTGGAATAGTATTTTCTCTTATTAAAAAAGATCGATCTATCGATGGTCCTACGTGTCACAGTTATATGTCGCATGTTTAAATAGATATGGAACAATTAGGATTTTCCAAATGCCGTATAAGTTATTCAATTTAGCTTCTTATTTCAGTAATTAGTACTTCCCATGTCAATAATCACAAAAAGCTATTTATCATTATGATCCGTAATTTACTTATCATCTTGGAAAATCGTTTCCTTCATTTTGAAAAACAAACCTTTACATTTTTTTTCAAGAGCCCAAGAGCTATCCATTGTTATAGAATCACGAAAATATCCCCAACTCCACCATTTGTCCACAAAACCTGTCATACACGGCACCGAAGTTATAACCTTCTTGCCATTTCGATTCATAATGCATGTTGATTTTGACTAGGTTCAGTCGGAGCTGAAGAGAAGGTGGGGTCTGTGGCGGGAAAGTCGAGAACTGGGCTGGGAACGACAGAGCGGACTGCCAACCACCACTCTTTCATTGGTCAGTCGGGGATCACGTGACAGCCCCGGAAACTCGCCCCCTCGTTCCCCCCGGATATCCCGGGTGCTGCCGGACTCGCCGGTACTGCTACACTACAGAGAGTACCGCGTGGGAGATACCACTTTGTGAGAAGTACACGAGACTGGATTAAAGAGTAACTCACCATTCACCAATTTCACACTTCCCACAATGCCTAGTAACGGTCACGGATATGACGTAAGACCACCCCCTCCCCCTTCCTCGATGTAATAATATTGTTTTGAATTATTTCTCTAGTAAAAAGCTCATGCCATAATTGAATTTTTGTTGGAATTAGAGAAAATGACGTACCTTCTATCGTTCTACCTTCTACCGAAGACTCTCCTACTCGCACGGTCGCATTACGTATATTAGAACGACAGAAGGTACGTAATTTTCTCTAATTCCAACAGAAATGCAATTATGGCATGCGCTTCATACTAGAGAAATAATTCAAAACAATAGTTGACCAGTTTGTCGATGGAACTTGTTGGAAATATTACATCGAGGAAGGGGGAGGGGGGTGGTCTTACGTCATGTCCGTGACCGTGGGAAGTGTGAATAGCTCATCCTCATCACTGTGAACACTTGATCGACTTGTGACATCACCATCATTACGGTCTGGTAGCCAGTCGCCACATTTCCACTTCCTAAAGCATTCGCGTGATTTACTAGCATGTGGATATGGTCGGAGGTGCACAGTCCAGGGTTTTGAGTGATGTGGTCTTAATTGCCATTTGTAATTGCCATATAAAGAGACTGTGTTTAGAGGTAGTTGGAATCTTTATATGGTGGAGAGTAAATGTGTTCAACACAGAATTACTGATGTCAAAAAACTTTCTGTAGATTCCTTAGGAACGCCGCCATGTAAGCCATGCATTTATACGATAGACCCAATGTAAGGAAAAAAAGTCACCATTCAGACAATGAGAAAGGCACGTGAGAACGAATGACGCAGTCATCAGGGTCATGAGCAGGAGGCTACATCATTACTTCAACAATATCTACTCCAGGAGTCCATTTTAAATATTGCCTGAAGAAGGCAAATATGTATGAAATAAAGACTGAACTTTAACTTCCAACACTAGATATAGAATTAGGACCTACCCCAAATTTTCGGTTGACTCCATCAACCTTGTTCACGGAATGGACCTGTCTACTCTTGGAACGTGACGTCAGAGACACGTGACCGTAGTAGCGGGTCATACGTGCCTGAGTCTCCGGGACATTCAGTATCTCTAGAAGGGGTTAAGAGGAGTTAAGGAGGCAGTCTACATAAGAGCTCACAGACCTACCCTGAACAGAGACGGAGGGAGACACAAGTTATCTGGCACGTATGACCCGCTACTACGGTCACGTGTCTCTGACGTCACGTTCCAAGATTAGACGGGTCCATTCCGTGAACAAGGTTGATGGAGTCAACCCAAAATTTGGGGTAAGTCCCAATTCTATATCTAGTGTTAGAAGTTAAAGTTCAGTCTTTATTTCATAATGATTTGTACCAACACAGATGAACTTTCATGCTAAGGCAAATATGTGATAACAATATAATGGTTCTGCAAAGACAAAGTGTTGTATGTGCGCGTGTTGTCGGGAGTTATGCCGGCAGGCGGTCTTGTACAACGGTGGACTGTAATGTGTTATTACGGAATTTTTGAACAGCTGGGTGGCCTATTCAATTTTGACAAATTGATTTTCAATGGAGCCCCCAAAAATAAACATCTGACAAATTAATTGTAACACAAGTAACAACAGAAGTATCATATCTACACATGTATGTTACATTCAGTGGTGAGAGTTGTGAGATATTTCCTGCTATCGTGTTGAAGTAATTAGTCCTTCTGTATGCAAATGTGTTGTCCAGCTATGGTTTGGGAAAAATGTAGGTTTGTAAAGTTCTGAAGCGTCTGGTGTTGTAGTTGTGAGAAAAGGTGGATGATAGGTCTATATGTCGGTTATAGCCCGTTAATAAAGTTGACAAACCATAATGCACATGTGACCCTGCTCCGATCTGTGAGGTGATGCCAGTTGTGTTTACGCCAAAATATCGAGGACACTGCTGGCCAGCTGTTACCATTGTAGTACGCACTACTCTTGCGGCTAATTATCTTCACCAAGAAGGTTATGTTTTCGTTGGCGCGTGTGCGTGTGTGTGTATGTATGTGTGTGTGTGTGTGTGTGTGTGTGTGTGTGTGTGTGTGTGTGTGTGTGTGTGTGTGTGTGTGTGTGTGTGTGTGTGTGTGTGTGTCTCAACACGATAACTCAAGAAGGCTAAGATGGATTGTCTTTATATTTAGTAGGTGGGTAGGTCTTGATGAGACCTGGAACTGATTAGATTTTGGACCCCCTGGCAGCTTGTTATGGTACTGCACCTGAACTTCTGGTTTTGATATCTCGTGATCTAGACATGGATAGGTCATGGTAGCTCTTTGGCTGGGGAAGAAGTGACATGGGTTTGGACCACCTAGCGACTTGTTCGGGAACTGCAGAAGCATTCGTTAAAAAATATTCGAAGGAGGATAACTAAAAAAACCGATTGACGGATCATCATGATTTTTGGTATGTGGGTACCTTAAAGAATGCTTGACATATGAAAATGATAGTTAGGCCACACTGATTTAATTTTATGGATGACATCCGCGCGCGCATTGATTTTCGCTTGTTCTCCAAAAAAAAAAAAAAAATCATGTCTTTTGAGGCTTCACGAAACTCCGGAACTCGCCTGGAACTCTTATCTTTGTTGTTGTACTCGGTACAGACTGCCGACTCATGAATGCCGCAAAAGGGCGGCTTATCGTAAAACTTCTTTTGTACTACCGCAAAACGTAAATTTTGTCGTAAATGAACCCTTTGCACATGCGTACTAGCTACACTAACAATGTAGAGCGCGAAGTTTGCAAGAGATGGCGGGGCAGCGTCGTCCTCAAAGTACGTCAAACTGGAGGCGTTGTTGTCGACTGGTATGCCATCGACATTGGCGAGGGGGATGTAACGTTTGCCCAGCTTTACGAGCGACTCGTGGCAGCCAGCGAGTATCGCCCGGACAGACGTCCTTTCCAGAGCGGCCACCACACGTTTCTATTGCAACGATGAGAGAAATGGGAGCTGTGTTGAGGTGGCCTTTAAAGTGGGTCAGGCCACTTCTCAGTGCAGTTCGGCTGTTTTGTCCGTATTGTTGTTGACAAAACTGCAACAACTAAAGCCAAAGATTGTCAGCAGAAGTCAGCTTTTGAGGTAAGAATAGTTCAGTTATTTTTTTGTTTGTTTTGTTTTTCTGATTTCGATCCAGTATCCGTTGCAAAATTTATGGGGAGGGGCGCGTACACGTGTTATGATACAGACAAAATAAAGTTGTCAATGATTTACAGTAGTTTTATGTAGATTATGATGTTGTAGTCATATGGCAAATTTCCAACAAGATGCATTTCTTCATGCAAGTTTTTTTGTTAATTTTCTGTTGGGTGTTTTTTTTAATAGTGAGCTCTTGCAAAAATTATTTCACAAAATTTCCTATTTGAAAAATGATTTTTATTTCTCTGTTTCTACATCCGTTTTGTGCAGGGCTCTTTTATGTAGTGCACCAGTGTATTTGTACTCTGCGCGAGTCAAGTCTAGGGCACTGGCCATTCTGCCACTGGTATGCTGGCAGTGTGGGGAAACAGACACGTTTCCCATCCCTCCAGAGAAACTGCAGTGTTTCAGAGCATTCATCCAGTGTGCCAGGTGGGTTAAATATTATTGTGTACCTCATGTTTTAATTGTACATTCATTCTCACCCGCATTAGTAATGTTGTAATTTTTACAATACACTTACAATTTTATTTGGAAACATACATTCCAAGAGTAAATCGATTTTGCATACCATGTCATTTTTCTGTAGGTTTGCAAAGCCACTCGTGTTGAAGAGCGTACAAGAGTAAAGAGAAAGCTGGAGAGGAAGGGATCTAGAGAGGAAGAAGATGGACCACTAACTTTCAGGTGGGTACTGTTTCTGCTCTACCTTTTACATTTTGCCCAAAATATTGATCTCAAACTTTTATCTGAAATAAAATCCACATCTATTCAATCCCCTTGTTGTATGCACTTCTACAGGGTATTAAGTATAAACTATATACTGTATATATAATTCATGTATATATCTACCTACAATGTAGGTCAAGCAATACGTTTTACATTTTTCTGTAGGGAGAGAAAACTGCGAAGGAGGAAGCTGCGAAGGAGGAAGCTGTGAAGGAGGATGAGACCTGAATAAGACTAACTACATCTACCTCCTGCAAATAAAGACTTGTTTGTTTGATGCAGTCACTGTGTCCTGTGATTCAATCCGCAATATCGGCTTTGTATTCCTGTGGTTAAGCAGCATTTTTTTTTTTGCTGAATTTTTTTTTTCGCCCTCTCGCATTAGTTTTGTGGTCCCCAGAGGATGTCATCCATAAAATTAAATCAGTGTGGCCTTATGCAAATCAGCAGCTAATTAGCATAATTGATGAGGAAATTCTATAAATCTGCTACCTTCCATGATATGATTATTCAAACGTGTGGCATGTTTAATTGTGAAGAAGAACATTGGCAGGTAGTGTTTATGCAAATGAATGCCTAATTTGCATGATTAATGCGAATCATCAAAATTCGTGAAGGCCTAAGGGTAACATCATTTGGCGAAGGTATGAGATCGTGGAACACTAGTTCGAGTTATATCAACAAGCTGAAGATATGTTTTACAATCCGTGTGCTCTCGAGACGTGAAATGTTTATTTCTTACTAGACCCAGCTGATCCAGAGGTGTGTTGACATATCTCACTTTATCTGCCATGTTGAAATACAAAAAAATTCCATGTTACGTTTTTACCGTCTGGAACAAACTATGTTCTTCATAACTAAAAGATGTAGGCGAGAGGGTAGTACTTTATCATTGTTATGGTGACGTAGAGGCCTAGTCAGGCATGGATACGAACTACGCATGGTACGTACTCTTTCAAATCCCTCTTTTACAGTCAAATCAAGTTCTTCAATTGAGCCATCTGAAGTATCTTTCTGGTAAAAGCTTATTTACTGATACAAGGTTATCATGTATTTCCACTGCTCACGAAGAGGTGAAATTGGATATCTCCAAGGCTCACGGCTACGATGATATCTATCTCAAAGCCATACACTATTTGATCTACAAAAAATAGCGCATGTTTTCAACTCTTCTCTATCAAATGGTATATTTTCTATGATATGGAAGAAGCAATGTAATCACTACTCATAGGAAACTCATGTGGATACTACTGGACAAATTACGGAGATAATATCCGGACGTTTCGAGTCATATTCACCACTCTTCTTTAGCGTCACTAATGAACTAACAGTCCTTCCGGGAATTATATTCGTAATGTATCCAGTAGTAGAGCCTGCATTTCCTCTGAGTATTGTTTGCCTGGATGTCTAACCTTCATGAACGTAGCAATGTAATTACTTTTTATATAAAAAAGGTGAACCTCGTGACAAATGTGATTATCTTTTTTTTCGCCTAGTTTGTTGAAGGTCTTGGAAAATAGTATGTTAAATCTATATATTAATCACTTATTTTCTATATATTCTCTTCAGTCCGGTTTTGTACATGGTGCCAGCTAGTTTATATAAATGAAGTTCCGTGTTTTTGTAATTTTCCAAGGACTTCAACAAAGTATGACACCTTGGTGTTATTTCTTTCAAACTGAAACAAAATAGAATGAAATGTCTTCTGTTAAAATGGATATATACGAGTTACTAGTATCTATATGAAAGAGTTCAAAGGCTAGTTATTGAGGGTCAGGCTTTAACCTTGGGCTAGATTGGCACAGAAGTCTGCCAAGGTTCTGTGTTAGGACCATCAGTGTTTACTATTCATACCAATGCCATTGTTAATGATTTGACGTGAACACTCTTTCTGTTTGCTGACAACATCTCTTTACTTCAAATATTTGTCTAGTACATTTATCTATTTTTCAAATTGTGACATGGCCCTAAAATGGTTGATTGAATTGAATCCCTCAATAAATTTTAAAAACATATTTGTTGGAATTTGAAAAATGATATGTCTCAATAAAATTTCAAAACAGGTTAGTATACCATGAGACTTGAAATTTAAACAACCTCGTCATGTTTTAGGGATTATTATACGCTTTTCCTTATATAGATTCGCAGGTAAAGTCTAGCATGGCTGTGCTACTGAAGACTCTGATCGAGCGAATACCAGTGTTCCTTTGCTGTTTCAGGAGACGTAAACGGTTTCTCTTACACTCCTGTATGTTAAGAATTGGGTTGTTAATATCTCTCTAGCAGACGTAGTCGTCCATTGTCGTATCAAATTGTACAAAAGACTAACACGGAAGAACCTCACAAGTCTGACCACCGCCGTTTCAGAAGCCACCCCCTATAACTTGAGAGGTAAGGTCTAGTACATATGTTACGAATCTACAATGGTCTAGCTAGTTCCTGGTCGTGAAGTACAACAGATGCAGTCTACGGAGCTAACCGCAATGTGTGTTACTTACCTGGGATCCTGGTCTCGACTGATTTGAAACTAACGGGCTAACTACTAGCTGCTCTCTCCAGCTGCTACTGTTGGCTAATGCTAATGAACATAAAAATGAGATAAGGGTCTAAACTGTCTACTCAGCGTACGTCATATGTCATATCGGCTGGATACAATACGTCACTGGTCCTGCCTGTTGCAGTAGCAGTAGTAGAAGCTTTTGTCTATAATATATAATATAATATAATATAATATAATATAATATAATAATATAATATAATATAATATAATATAATATAATATAATATAATATAATATAATATAATATAATATAATATAATATAATATAATATAATATAATATAATATAATATAATATAATATAATATAATATAATATAATATAATATAATATAATATTATATCACATGTCTGCACTGCCAAATGATAAATGGAATCAATTTTGGTGTTATTTCCTTTTTGAAGGGAGTCACTGACTAATTCTCCGCTCTGGTGCAGCTGGTTTACTTGTTAGAATTCTTCTTCGCGTAACGTGACAATGAATTACAATTTCTCTACTAAATATGCTGTATCTGGCATTATGGGAAGTGTGAAATTGATGAATAAAAGGGGGGAGTTACAATGTAGGTATTTCACCAATCTACGTTAATGCCAACTTTCAGATCGTTTGAATGATGATGGCGGAAAAATGAGAAGAAGAAACGTCAGGAAAACTACATATTTCACTCCAATGCCCGTAGTACAAATATCAAATAGTATATTTCTGCACCAGCTCTTGTTCTTACATAATATAATGTAAGAAAATGTACACAATAAAATGCAAATCGGGCATTTGCAAAATTTGTGAGAAAGCCATTTTTTTAGTATATTTGGGTGGCAGGGAACTTTTGGCGTCAGGACAAAGGTTTTATCCCTACAGCTGTTACTTTTGGAACGGCAATTTTTTAATATTTCAAAGAATGAGACATTAAATGCATGTAATGCCTAATGATAAGGATGTTCTACAGTTCTATTGTTTTTTGTAATGCGACTTCGATTCATGTAACGTTACACATTGTAATTCATTGCGGGTGGAACAAAATCAGATGCCAATTATGCAGGTAAGAGCCCATTTTGAAAACTTATTGGTAGCAAATTTTTGCTTGTATATTGTGTAAGTTAGCATAGTGCCGCCATCCATAGATTATGTAAATGTGGACGTCATTTGCATAAATCTGCAACAGCTCTAAATATTTCATGTTTGACAAACGAAGTTATTTCTAGTTTCCGACTACTTCCGTGTTGCGCACAGACCAGTTTGACCCTGAGTTTTCACATATCTCGAACTAAGGCAGTTCCTGATGTGGTTAACATGATGATTACATGATTATAAATCTCATATTTAGATATCACCATGTCAATGAAGAAGTGTTAATTCATAACACGTTTTAAAACACCGCCATTATGTCTCGGTCATGCGTTGTATTTGGCACTGACCCGATGACAGCCATGCATAAAAATACTTGTACTTGTACAAGGAAAACACCACGTTACGGAAAACCAAACATACACTACTAAACCATAGAATTGAAAACCAACCTGTAGTTACGTTGGCAGATATTGATTATGTAAATGAAGACCTAATTTGCATAATCGTTTTGAAATTGCTACAATTTTATAGTGGTAACTGCTGGGAATTTAATACTTGCCATAATTGGAAGTTCAGTGAACGTGAACATCACTAAACATACTTTATTCAAATCAGGACCTCATCTGCATAATTTATGCTAGGATAAGCTAGAATAGCTTTATTTAAGATAATCCTGTCATTGGGTGGAGAATATGATCAACTGATATAATATCTGCAAATAATTGCAAGAGTTTTGCTAATGAGCAGGATTGTAAATCAAAGCCATTTACAGAGGGTCATCACCATGCATTGAAGATACAAAAGCGCGAAACATGTCATGGAAGCATGAGATCGCCGAACTCTAGTTTTATTTCATACTGATGGCGCTAAAAAGAGAGTCACTTCGTAGCGGCGGCTCGTGGCCATACTGCCCGTATTGACGTACAGCGTGAGGGCGCGGAACTCAAATTGCTACTCACGTTTGATAACAGTTGTTTAAAGGAAGTTGGCAATACTTGGAGAAACGAAAATCACGAGAAAACGGTCAAAATCTATGCCTTTGTCACTCATTAGTAGATACAATCAACCACAGTAAAACCTGATACAATAGAGGAAACTTACACATTACCTAACTCTACAATTATGGAAACTCACACATTACCGAACTCTACTGTTGGGGAAACTCACACACAATACCAAACTGTATAGTTACCTTCGCCAAGAAGGTTTCGTAGGCGTTCGTGTGTCTGTGTGTGTGTGAACACGATAACTCAAGAAGGCTAAGATGGATTGTCGATATTTGGTATGTGGATAGGTCTTTATGAGACCTGGAAATGATTAGATTTTGGACCACCTAGCGGCTTGTTATGGCATTGCAACTGAACTTCCGGTTTGATATCTCATGATCTAGACATGCTAGGGTGACAAAATTTAAATGGTAGGAAGCTTGTAGTGGAGTTTGGCCCCCTAGCGTTTTTCTCTGGAACAACAAGGCTATCTGTTTGAAAGTATTCAAAAGAGGATAACTGAAGAACCGGTTGACAGATCGTCGTGATTTTTGGTGTGTAGGTACCTTTCGTGATGCTTGACATAATTATTTGACAAATATAGTCATTTGACAAATATGGATATAATTTTCATAATTTATGGGGAAATTCTTTAAATCAGCTGCATTCCATGATAGGCCTATTGAAGCTTGTGACATTGGTAATTTAGAACTAGAGAAACACAGGCAGATATTGATTATGTAAATAAGACTT